CGGGGTACAGCATAGCTGCGACTTGTGGATTCGAACCCAGGGGTGTCACCACTTCGCCGTGAAGGCGGGGTACAGCATAGCTGCGACTTGTGGGTTCGAACCCAAGGGTGTCACCACTGCTCCACAGAGCCGGAGCTGCGTCATTCCATGCTTTACTACCTGGATTTGATTTTCAGCCCAACTCCAGACTCCATTACCGCAGACTGCGTCCAGATGTGGATCTATCCATCGAATTCTGATCGTAACGGACAACTTCATGCTATTCAGTGAGTTTTGATGGGCAAAGCTACCGGCAAGCTGCCCAGGCAACTTGCCCATCCAATTTTCTCCCTTTTTCAGCTGTGACATGGCCGTCCCACCCTACGACTTTGAAAAAGCGCTCTTCACCAACTACGGATACGTTTGCGGACGTCCGCCAGTGCTCAGTTTTTATTAAGAAAATAAACTCTTTGTGTTGAGGAAAATATGTTCATTCGGACGGAATATGTATGCACCAGAAGGGAAAATAATTTTTAGAGATGAAAAAATTAATGGAGGTGACAAAATAACTGAGATGAGATGACCAAAAAGCAAAATAATGGATGTGTAGGCGTGGCAGTTGTTGGCAAAATTGGGAGGAGGTATCAGTTGTAAAACCTGGAAGAAACAAAAAAATCAAAAAAAAATTTTTTTTTTTTGGGTCCCGCTACGAAAACACAAAATCTATCGTATCTCGGTCAACTTTGATCGGATTTCAATGAAAAATATACTGTTCGAATCAGCTTGAAAAAACGGTTCGAATGAGTATAATCATGACAGAGTTTTGAGAAAATTTTGATTTTTGGGATTTTTGGGTCCCACCACGAAAACACAAAATCGGTTGTATCTCGATCATTTTTGATCGAATCTCATGGAAAAATAGACCATTCGAATCAGCAAATCAAGGCGGTTCGAATGAGTATAATCATGACAGGGTTTTGAAAAATTTTGTTTTTTCGGGTATTGACACGGGGTACTAGCGGGTCGAGACCCGAAAAATAAAATTTTTTTGGAACCTAGTCATGATTATACTCATTTGAACCGTCGTGATGAGCTGATTTGAATGATATATTTTTCAATGAGATCGGATCAAAACCCGCCTGGTTACGGTGGTTTTTGTGTTTTCGTGGCGGGACCCAAAAATCAAAATTTGCTTGGAACCTAGTCATGATTATACTCATTCGAACCGTCCTGATGAGCTGATTCCAATGGTGTACTTTCCATCGCCTAACCATCAAAACTAACCGAGGTACGACCTTTTTTGTGTTGTCGTGCCGGGACCCAAAAATCAAAATTTTTTGGAGCCATGGCATGATTATACTCATTCGAATCGTCTCAAAGAGCTGATTTCAATGGTACACCTTTCAAAAATCGCAGATCAAATCTGACCTAGTCTTTGTGTTTTCGCTTTGAGACCCCATTCCCGGTTGCGCCACGCAGCCGGAGTACAACATACCTACACATCATCACTCCATGCTTTTTGGTGTGTCAAATCAGTCAAAGTACCACCACATATAGGGATAGAAGGTTATCTGAACAGGCAAGAAATATGGGTTAGTATGTTCGAAACGGCACTCACATGCTATGCTATACTCACATGAATCCGACTTTCTCCATCGAAATCTTGAATACCACATCCATACAACTGTCGAATACCCGATCGATATTACGGGTGTCCGTTGCGTTGGTGTAATGAGAATAGACGGGTTTCTCGTGTTGAATTTCACCACTGACGAGCCGGGAGAATCGATCGGCGACGTATTTTGCGGCGGCTTCCAATGAATTCGGACCTTTGTAGTTTTTGAAGCATGTGGTCAAGGGGTACTTGGAGATTTTCTCTTTGAAAATATCGATTTTGTTGAGGAATAGGATCATGGCGGTCTTTTTGGAGAAGCATTGATGATTGGCGATTCGTTTGAACAGGTCCATTGAGTATCTTAATTTGTTCACTTTCCCGGGGGAGCCATCTTCTTGGGGGTGCTCATCGTCATCTGTGTAGAGGTTGTAGCCACTGATGGCGGCGATGAAGAGCACTCCGTTGACGTTGTCGAAACAGTGGATCTGGAATTCGGGAATGCTCGGCAAGTTGCCGTTGTCAAGGGGGCAAGCTGGACGGCAGAAAAACCGGGGGAATTGAGGAAATTTGGCGGGTTGGTGGCGAATTTTTATTTATCTATTTATTTATTTATTATTTTTTCAAAATTTTTGGATTTTTTGAATTTCCACCGAAACTATTGAATTTTCGAATTTCCGAATTTTCGAATTCCCGCCAAATTTCACAAATTTTTGAGTTCCCGCCAATTATTTTCGATTTTTAAGTTCCCGCCAAATTTTTTGGATTTTTTGTCGAATTTTCGATTTTTCGAATTCCCCCCAAAATTTTCGAAATTCTCGAATTCCCGCCAAAATTTCTGATTTTTCGAAATTCCGCCAAACTAGCGAATTTTGAATTTCCGAATCCCCGCCAAATTTGTCGATTTTTTGAATCCCCGCCGAAATTTCTGAATTTTCGAATTCCCACCAAAGTTTTCGAATACTCGCCAAAATTTTCCGAATTTTCAAGATCCCTCCAAAATTTTTCGAATTTCCGAATTTTCGAATTTAACTCCCACCAAGATTTCTGAATTTTTGAATTCCCGCCAAAATTGTCAAATTTTCGATTTTTCGAATTCCCGCCAAAACTTTTGAATTTTTGAATTCCCGCCAAAATTTTCAAAATTTCGATATCCCGCCAAAAATGTCGAACTTTCGAGTTCCTGTCAAAATTTCTGAATTTTCAAAATCCCGCCAAAACTATCGAATTTTCGAATTCCCGCAAAAATTTTCGAATTTTCGAATTCCGGCTAAAATTCTTAGTTTTAAACTCTCGCCGAAATTTTCAAATTTTCGAATTACCGCCAAAACTTCCAAAAATTTGAATTCCCGCCGAATTTCATAAATTTTTGAATCCCCGCCAAAATTTCTGAATTTTCGAATTCCCGCCAAATAATTGGACAGGTTTTTCATCAACTACTAGCTTGACACCCAGTTGACTCACCCATTTCCTCTGCTCTGATCGTTGACCACCAACATCAACCATTCTGTAAAAAAACAGACATTGAAAAAAAAATTATAAGACAGGTGAACTTTTTCAGAAAAATCTAGTTTGCTCATCGCTCACCTCAACATTGCCTCTCGGAATGGGAACTCAATTTCAGTAATACCCGTTGTGGGAACCCGTGCCTTCAAAACGTCCATCTCGGTTGGCTTGTACTCGTGTGCCGATATTCGGTCCAGGTCGTCCAGGAAACTGAAAAACCGGATTTTTGAATTTGACCCTCCCACCTAGGACCTACTAAGTCGCTGAATCCAAAAGGGTAATCTCATTTTTCCTGTTCAACACTCCTTTTATAAATTCAGAATTGTAGAGCTTCTGCAGTGACTCGGTGAGCTCTCTGTTCAACTCCACTTCCGACATACTGTACCGGACCTTATAGGATTTGTAGTGATTAAGAGCCCTCCGTATAGAAGGACTGTCATCTGGTGGAAAATGAAATAGCTCTGCAGCCTCCAACAACTGATCCATTGCCTGCATGATATTACTGTAGATGAGATAACGAAAATTGACATAGTCCAAGTCGGAGAACCCGTTTAAATGAATGATTTTCATCTGTTTGAATATTGTACTTTTGCCGCATTCTGGACCGCCGAGAAGCAAGATTTTGAGCGTACGCTTCATCTCGAGCTTATCTTTCTCCAGCTGACGATTGATGATACTGTTCTTTCTGGCCATGTCGCCAGGTGTCATTTCCGTGCCGCCGCATACGTTCACACTGGAAAAAAAAGGCTTGGGAAGGGTAAGGATGAAAAAACAAAAAGATTACAGGGTCAAGGGAATCGAACCCGCGTCCAAAAATTCTAAGACAGTAGCGTTAGCCATTAAGCCACCCGTACCGCAGCAAGGGGAAGGAGAGAGAGAGCGCGCGCAGGGGTCACTGTGGCGCAGGCGGTAAAGCGCTTGTCCGCCAATCTGAGTACCAAAGTTCGACTCCCACAGGTGCCAATAATTTTTGTTTTTTTTTCCTTTCATGTTCACACTGAAAGGGGCACTTAGGAAAAAAAACAAAAAGATTTGACACCCGTTGGAATTGAACCCGCGTCCAAAAATTATGAGACAGTAGCGTTAGCCACTACACCACCCGGGTCGCAATGGGGAAACGAGGAGACGGCGAAGGGGCGGCTGCGCGTGTGGCGCAGGCGGTAAAGCGCTTGTCTGCCAATCTAAGCACCCAAGTTCGACCCCCACCGGGGTCAAAAGTTTTTGTTTTTTTTCTAAGGGTATCCTCTCATACACTACTCACCGATTGTTGACTTGTGTCGTAAACGACAGTCGTCCGCACAATAAGAATCCGAAGCTAATGTCTGAAGTTGCGGAGGCACTCGACTCAATATTATGCGATGAGTGTTGTGATGGAGCTGCCAGTTTCTGAAAAATGGGGAGGGGAAATTTTCGAGTGGAGAAATCACATGTACATCAGGTGCTTTTGGGAATAGGGATGGTGATCTTAGAATTAGGGAAAAGTTTAGAGATAATTGATGGTTACATGTCGTATAGTAGAATGATTTCATTTCGACCAGGACCTATGCGCCTTTAAGGTAAACTATTGCTCAGACTAGAGACCCTTACAATTTGCTGATTGGCCTGCCGTGTGCTCCTCGTGCTAGTATTGTTGACGGCACCAATCGGCTGGACTTGATTAGCTGAGGAGCTGGTATTCACACTGTTCAACGGGGCAAGTATCTTCTGCAAATGGGCAATCTAGTCAGGTGATTTTAGGGAAAATGTCATATTCTGAGCAATTGGAGGATAGTAATCATCAAGAAATTTGGCATTAGAAAAAAAATTTTGATCAGAAGAAAAGTGACATTTGAGATGAGAGAAAAATAATGATGATGTTGGAGTAGTCGGATTTTGAAATTTTGGGGGAAAAAGGAAAAAAATACGCCTAGGGGAATCGAACCCGGGTCGAAAAATTCTGAGACAGTAGCGTTAGCCACTAAGCCACCCGGGCCACAAAAGGAAAACGGGGAGACGGCGGAGGGGCGCCTGCGCGTGTGGCGCAGGCGGTAAAGCGCTTGTCCGGCAATCTAAAGGTACTCAAGTTCGACCCCCACTGATGCCAATATTTTTTTTTCCTTTCATGTTCACACTGAAAGGGGCACTTAGAAAAAAAAAACAAAAAGTTTTGACTCCTGTTGGAATCGAACCCGCGTCCAAAAATTCTGAGACAGTAGCGTTAGCCACTAAGCCACCCGGGCCACAAAAGGAAAACGGGGAGACGGCGGAGGGGCGCCTGCGCGTGTGGCGCAGCCGGTAAAGCGATTGTCTGCCAATCTAAAGGTACTCAAGTTCGACCCCCACCGGGGCTAATATTTTTTGTTTTTTCTTCTTCTTCTACTAATCACCGATTACATTCGTTCACACTGGAAAAGTGGGCTTATGGAGAAAAAACAAAAAGATTTGACTCCTGTTGGAATCGAACCCGCGTCCAAAAATTCTGAGACAGTAGCGTTAGCCAATAAGCCACGCGGGCCGCAACAGGGAAACGGGAAGACGGCGGAGTGGCGCCTGCGAGTGTGGCGCAGCCGGTAAAGCGATTGTCTGCCAATCTAAAGGTACTCAAGTTCGACCCCCACCGGGGCTAATATTTTTTGTTTTTTTTCTTCTTCTACTAATCACCGATTACATACGTTCACACTGGAAAAGTGGGCTTATGGAAAAAAAACAAAAAAATTTGTGCCAAGGCTCTTTTTATGCCGAAAAGTAATGATTCCAATGTAAAGAAACTTCCAGAAACAATTAAGAGCACAAATGAGCTCGAAGTGCTCACTCATTCCGAGAAAAAGACAGGTGGAATGAGTGTACACTCAACAACTCCGTCACCTTTTTCACCCCAGAGGGGTGAGTGTCTTTGTTAGGGGAGGGTAATTGGGTAATCGGGTTTCAAATTATATTTCTTTTCCAACTACATTTTTCTGACGAAGGGGAATTTATGTCAGGAAAAGGCAGGACGAAAAGTGCAAGAGAAGTGATTTTTGCAAATTTCGTTCTCTGATAGAGCAGTACAATTGGTTTGGATTAGCACATCTCGGTTGCCTTTAGAGCTATCAAAATGTGGTCAACTAAAAAAATATTTTTCAGATAATTTTAAACATTTTATTAGTTGACAACTTTTTGATAGCTCTTTAGACAACCGAGATATGCTGCGTTGAACAGGGAGTACTAGGGAGACCTGTGGGAACTGCGTTTTTGTAACCTTCTTTTTTTCGATAAAATGTGGATATAAGAATATGAAAGTGGAGAGTGAAAAATTCTCTATCAAATGGTATAAATTTCACATAGGATTGTGCCAGAAAATGAGTCTGAAAAGCTGAAAAACGAAAGATTTCAGTACTGAAATTTTATTTTTCCCTGTTTTGACCAAAATTTTCTGTTACAACCCTATATGAAATTTATACCATTCGATAGGCAATTTTTTCCTCTACATTTTCCCATTTTTAGACTTTCAGTTTGTGCTGAATCCAAGGTCCTGCCCCCTTTGCAGTCACCCACCGTAATGTCTCAGGTCCCACGTGCTCTTCAGTTACGTATGATACGCATCCGGAGGATTAGAATCAGAAAAGTTCAAAACAAACTAAATTTAGATTTTTTTTTCGTACCTGGTACCTGGGACCTGGTACGGAGTCAAAAGTCGAAAAAGTGAATAAATGAAGAAAAAATAAATGAGAATTGGTCAGAAATATACAAAAAGCTCTACCAGGATGATAAGACTTCCGGGGTCAATCAATTGATTTTGGGACCTTTTTTGGTAAACTGGGGATGTAAATAGATAGGAATGTAGAGGAAAAAATTTTCTATCGAATGGTATGAATTTCATATAGGGTTGTACCATTAGAAGCTGGAAAACTAAAGATTTCAGTACTGAAAAAAATTCGATAGAGAATTTTTTACTAAACGGTCCTAAACCCTGTGCAGCCATCTATCGTAATACCCGGAACTTAAAAAGTTGTTATTCTCTTTCCATATCTAAAAGCTACCGTAATCACTAATCCGCTTCTCATAATTAATCATCAGTCCCAAGGGCCTCAATTAGTGGTCGGGTGATATTTTAATAACAAGAAAAGGGGATGATGTTATGACTAATGGTATTTTGAACTATGATTGATGGGTGTAGTTTGGGCCTGATTCTTGTACACGGACCATTTAAATTAGGGGGCTTACGGCCCTAGCAAAAAAACCGGACCATCAGCAGCTTACTTTGAATGTTTGGTCCTGATTGTTATAGGCAAAGGGGGCCCAGGGTCCTATTGAAACCAAGAGAAATCTATTTGGAAAAAAAATGAATTTTTTAGTTTTTTTTTCGGTTTATTCCTGTACCGATAATAAGGACGGAAACATAAAAAACCACCGAAATCCTACGAAACAACCCTATGACTTTCCGTACCCCTACTAAGAATGCTTGCTCTACTCTAGTGCTTTTTGCTCCTCATTAAATTCCCAGGATAGGTGTACATTTTATAGACTACAAACTCTATTCTAGCCAGTGGAAATCCTCACAAAATATGTCGAAAAACGAGCAGTCGATCAATACCAAAGATGCTTAAAAATATTACGAATATGACAAAAAGCAGGCAGTTCACCCCTCTATGAAACATAGAAAAATCGAGTCAAAGTCACGAATGCGTATCGAAAAAGAGATGATATGTTTCACCTGTTGTTGAATGAGCTGTGATCAAAAATGTTCTAGTTGGAGGAGCTAAGGGGTAGATCAAAATCATAGGAGGGATACCTAGATATAGCTATGGTGATTAGGGGACGGAAATCAAGAATCTGATCTTGGGTAACCTCAGGAGGCTTGAACCAAAAGGCCGCATGGAAAATGTTCAAAAGCGTTCTCGGCTGAGCTACGCGGCGGCGGGGACCCTTAAGCGCCGGGAGGCTTTAAGAGCCAGGAGCTTACGGGGATCCTCAAGCACCGGTGGCTTACGGGTCCCTTAAGCACCAGGAGACGTCTTAAGCGCCGGGAGCTTACGGGGACCCTTTTCAAAAATTACGAGGACCCTTTTCAGAAAAATTCAGGAATTTTCTAACCTGATCATTTTCCGAATAGTGCATCCACCCTCTTATCCAGTTACGGATATATATTCTAATTTCAAAAGAAATGCGCGTTAGTGCGAACTACTCCCCCCCCCCCCCCCCCCCTTCATTTCTAAAGTTCGTTTTGCATGAGTGACTTTTTCGGATTTCTATGTAGTCATTCATAATCCTTGACTCATTGAGGGGTTCCCTTCTAAAGTTCATTTCGGTCAAAAATAGATCAAAAGTGTTCTAGGCGTCCCAATTTCATCTGAAAAAGAAGTAGAGAGAAAAAGAGTCTAGAAAAGTCAGGTAGACTGACTGAAAACAAGGTTAAAAAGTCAGAATTACGTGTATGTCTTGGAGAGAGTTTGAAAAGTCATTGGGAAGTAGATTCAAAAAATCCGAATTCTTCAGAATAATGACAATCGGTTATATAAATATAAATAAATTTGAATTATAGAAGAAGAGAAAGTGTGTTTTCACCTGTTCCTATGGAAAATTGAGGAAAACTGATTTCCAGGAAAAGGAATCAAAAATGGATCAAAGGAACTGAATAGCTTTGAAAAATTCTTTTCCATGACGCTGGCAAAAGCGGGTAGATACTCAAGTGCTATTTTCCAATTTTCCGAAATTTGGCTCTTGTGCTATGGATCTAGAGCTATTTTAGCCGATTTTCTTGGCTCAGAGCCAAATTTGAGAAAATTGGCAAATAGCACTTGTGTATCTGCCATAATAGCCCGTGGCCAGTGAAAATGACAATTTGCCGATGGGCAACTTGCACTTTGCTTGCCTCGCAAACGACCGGCAAGTTGCCGAGCAACTTTTTCGACTAGCCGTTTGTCAGGGGCCCCCAACTAATAATCGGCAGGAACTAAATACCATCGATCGGTAAGTAAGGGGGAGTTACTGGCCTGAGGCATGGCAACTTGCCGTTTTCTAGTTGTTGTAGCTGTAATTGCCGATTTTCTCCTGGCATCTTGCCCTTGACAAGCTGCAACTTGCCGTAAGTTGCCGGATTACAAGCTAAGGCTTAGTCCGGTGGCCCCTTTAAGACGGCTTTTACCTACCATCCAGTACGTCAAAATGGCGGCCGCGGCCTAGGGGGCCTGAGGCCGTGGTCGACCGTCATATTATAAAAATACTAAATTTTGGAGTCTCTAGCAGGGCCGCTAGGCCGCCGTAATGCCTGAGCACCGGAATAACAAAATTTAGAAACCCAATTTCGGCCACGGCCGCCACTTTGACAGTCTTGCTCAGAACAGAGACCCCCCCCCCCAAACCTAAGACCAAAAATCTTCTCTAAAATGTTCTGATAAGGTGTTCTTCTGACAAAAAAGTCGCAAAAAACCACAACCCTCATTATTTCCCCTCATTACCACACGAAATACCGCCCAGTCTACAATCTTTTGCTTCTTTTTTCTACATTTTACACGCGTTTTTCTCATCATGATTCGAAAAACATGTTAAAAACCGTCACGAAAAACCTCCGTCAAAAAAAAATTAGAAAACCGCAGCAAAACGGAAAAAAGAAATGAAAATTAGAATGTCAGAGAGAGGCCGGCTGAGGAAATTGGGTTTCGGAGAAATGGGTGACGTCACAACAAATCAGAGTGTCTCTTACCTTTCGAAGGCTGCAGCAATCATAACATGAACTTCTTCCCGTGTATCTTCTTGGATCTGCAGGTGGTGGTTGTGGTTGTACTGGTGGAAGTGATGGGTACGGGTGGCGAGTCGGAGGTGCCTGGAAGAGGATCATGCGTGTTAGATATAGGGTTTGAATTAGAGACATGCGGTTAGGTTAGGGCAGTTGCAAATCAATCATTATGGAACCCGGCATGAGAATTCGTTCATTTAATACTGCTAGGTAAAGTTTCTTGAACAGAAATAGGCTAAACCGTCCGGGATTGGATGGTCAATTTTCAGGAAGCGTTA